TGTATATATACTGTATATATACTGTATATATACTGTATATATACTGTTAGAGACTTTAGTCAAGCTATATTTCTTTATTCCTTAAGGGTTCTAGATTGATATTCAGAAAGTAGTTTTAGGTGAGTCTTCTCCATTGGTCCCAGAGTTCATGAGAATGAATGAATGAAATAATACTAAATAAATGAATAATACAATGATAGAAACATTTCATGCTTGTGATAAGTCCAATTCCTGATAAACTAGAAAAAGATATGGGTAGACAGTAAATATTTGAAGAAGAATTTAAAGAAAGATACAATTTTGTATATACTTTAAACAACTTTATTATAGGGTGGAAACTTGAGCTCTGGTGATTATGATGGTCGCACTCCACTCCATGTTGCATCCTGTGAAGGCAATTTGAAGATAGTCAGGCATCTGTTGAAGTCTGGTGCAACTGTATATGCAAAAGACCGATTAGGAGCTACTCCACTGATGAATGCTGTCAAGTTCAGGTATCTTATTAAAATATAATTTAAATCAAGCACCCTGGAAGAGTTAGGACATCAGCAGCTGAATGAATTGAAGGCTAGTTTTATTGTTATACATTGGTTTTGGGACAGATAAATATTATATGCTAAACGACTGTTCTCGAAACAGTTTATTCCTTTACAAAACTTATCTTTTACAAATCAAGTTTCATGGCTGGAAATGAGAGACGTTTTTGGTCATGTGCTGTATCTCAAGCAATAAAGCCGGAAAATTTTCTAATAGTATAGTAAAAGATCAATACATGTAAAGCACATGTTTAGCATCTATTGGGAAGATGTTTTGGCAAATACACTGCTGTATGGCATTTCACTCATCAAGGCTGTTCATAACTTTGAAATCAATTTCAAAAAGGTATGTTAAAGTGCACAGGCAAATGAACATAATATGCATGGGCAGTTCTTTAAAGTAACTATATCTTTTCCTGGCTTAACTGTCATCTGCAACTGTACTTGACTTTTTGGAATAAAATCCAGAATTCTTCATATGGAATATGTAAAATTCTGGTTAAAGAAGCTACTGAATTATGTTTCAGATCTTTTATGCACATAATAACGTGTTGAGATTTTTGTTAACTCAAAATCACGAAGGGACTTTTTCTGAGCATTTTAATGGATTTTAGCACTCTCTACATGTTATGCCTCTCTCTGTAAACTATTGTTTTTTCTCCTTTTATTCCTAATTGGCTTAACTGGTTATTTCACTGTCCCTATCCTAGTAATTGAACAAGAAAGTTTTTGCAGATATTGTATATATTTCTATATAAATCATGTATTAAAATTAAGTCTGCAGAGCTTCGCAACTGTGGAAAGAGTTTGATGCAATAGATCTAAATCAGGGGTGTCAAACTGGCGGCCCGCGGGCCAATGTTTCATGCACAGGCCACACCCATCCCAGCTCCGCGAAGGGGAAAAACATTGTGATGGCAATGTGACACCGCTAAATGCTTGCTTGTAACAACTTTATCCATGGCTCGTCCTCATAAAACAATCACTAGTAAAGCTTTCTCTTTAAGGATTCAGATAAATGCCTGACATAATGTAACATTCTGATGAGTTCCAGAATTGTGGAATGACAGTTTCCATCATCACCAGTCCACAAGGCTAAAACTGTGGTCAATTCCTCACACTCTTGGGTTAGTATTTTTCTAAGATATTTGGCATCTGTTCCAAATGATCTGTGACAATATGATGGCTAACCAGGTTCTACAAATACCAGAACACAGGAAAGGAATTTCCTAAGAGTTTCTAGTGCAAGTTAAAAACACTTACAACCTGCTCTGCACGCCTGTGCAAAATGTTCCTGTAAACAGTAATGTGCCTGCATGTGTGTTTAACCACACCCAGGGCTTCCTGAGGAATTTCACATGAGTTTGTTATTCAGATTCTTTTGCTTTACCACTCCCATAAGAGAGGGAGCTTGATCTTTTGAAAGCTGCCAAAAGGGGGACTAGAAGAACAGAATTAAATTGAGTTCAAGATTATGCTCTTGTTAGAAGAGACTTACTAGTCATCATTTTGTAGAGTCTGGAAGGAATGCTTTAGGCTCCTATGTGCTGGAAGACTTTGCAGCCAATCTTAAAAGGGCAAGGGATGATTTAAATCTGGTAGCATTAGGTATTATTACTGCAACTGGAGCAAAAATAATGTTGTACAGGGATAGGTCTTTGCTTTCATTTTATGTGAGAGAAAATTACTTGCATACTAATATGTAGTCCCACATATGTGCCCAGTCACTCATAAAGCATGTTTATTTTGTGTTTAATTTCCCACAACATTTTCTTCTCAAATAAGTAAATAAATAAACTTTAGCAATAAAAAGGAATTATGAGATTTAAGGTAGAACTGTGTATTGCTTTTTTGTTCATAAGTATGATGGAAACAGCTTGTGTGGGCCTTAGACATCAATATTTCTGTTTGAAAAGTTGGATATTTTATGGGAAAGCAAAATAAACGTCCAACAATATTTATGCCTTCTATGATTTCTTAAATACTGGGCAAAGAAAAATGACAATATTATTAGTAATCCACAAATAGGCATCTTGTTCTGGCTCTTTTAAGGACAGAGTTTTCTTGCTCTGCTGCTTCCTATTTTTGAATTTTGTCAAGACTATGTAAAAAGTCAATTCTTTATTTCTTACCAGAGAGCCAAATTAAAGAATTTAAATAAAGTCCATCAAGTTGAAGCCTGGGTTTAACATTTGCATGTCTTTAAATTCCTGAAGGAAAGGAAATATCCTTGCTATTTAAAGCATATGTAAAAATAATGTCAGCTGTCAGCATTAGGGAATCTTCATACTCATTCACAGCATAATAATTGTAATCATCTTTATCATGTATAATAATGCTTTAGAGTGTTTAAGGTGGGGCTATAGTTTTGCATGTAAAATATTTCTGATTTATTCTCTGGCTTACTGAGTGAGAAGGATTTCCGATAGCACTTCTTAAGTGGATCAATGTATGACTAATGTAAAGTATCTCTGTTCTATTTTTATTCTGAGCTGAGAAGCAACATCCAGGGGATTTCCAACAATCTCCCATTGATGGGCTGAACCTAAGGAGGCATTTTACCTTTCACTTCACTTTTTCTGTTCAGTCTCATAATGTAGATGAGAAGCTGAGACTGAAGTTTGTATTTTGCCAAAGCCCTGTCTACTAGTTCTAATCTGAGATAATCCAGGTTATAGACCAAGAACACCTAAAATGTACTGCTATCAATGGGACAAATTGTGATTACCTCAGAAAATCCAGCACATGTGTTACAAAGAATGAGACCCAGGGTTTGCAGTTTACCTATTCAAGGCACTGACTTACCTGTATATAATTATCTGCAACTCAGTAAGAATTCCACCCAGTCATTATACATTTCTGTGTCAGGTGAGTTGTCTGCCTGCTTCTGATTTTGAGCTGAATATTAAACAAGTTATTTGTAGCCCTTGATGTCTTCAAAAGAGTTTTCAGGTACTCAAGAAGTTTAATCAGTGGTTCCACATTGTCTTCAGCTTGATGGTACAGAAAGGCGCCTATGAGCCTGTGCAATTTGAGGCATATGAACCTGACAGTGCAAAAATCTCATGGATGTTTCCTCAGGAAAACATTCACTAACTTACACCTGGATGAAATTCAGAATATTTTATTCCAAGTACCTAGGAGCCCACAAAGAGGACTCCTGAAGTCTTGTGTGAATCAAAATTCACTCAACCCCTCCCAACATGGTATGAGCTAATTGAAGTTGAAATGTTCTGTGAACATTTATATATATATAAATGGTACATTGCAGGCTGAAGTGAAAATCAGTGTAAGTTACCTACCAACCGAAAGGGGGGAAAATATCTAAAGTGATGTTTTGTTTCACATGGAATACTTGCAATAATGTATTTAAGATAATAAGCAAACATGGGAGGCCTGTAATTATGATAGTTAATACATAGGTGCTCAGCAAAAGGGACTGAATAATACTGCTTTCCAGGAGAAGGAGAATTTCATTGATATTGTGATTTTAGTAATGCAACAAAAGCAGCATTAAAAATATTGTGAAAAAAAATTTCTGTAGCTGACCAAGAAACAATAAATCTAAGAAAAAAAATATCCAATATATGCCTCAGATTGGCCATGCGTACCTAACAACTTAAGCTAAGTAGAGGGTGCTTTAAACAATTTGAAAAAATATAACTGAAATTTTGTGATTTGCTTTCTAATCTAGAGATACAGAAGGAATTTGTTCTATTCTCCAGATTTGGTTTTGCTTTTAGACAAAAATACAGGTGTTATATCACCTCTAAGTGGGCCACTAAATTACCTTAACAGAAGTTCAGCAGGTTCTGACCAGTTCTGGTGAAGTGATAGCAGAAATTTTGAGTAGTTTTAATGATTGAAACTTGGATACTTTGAGTTGAAAATTCTCAGTTGGGTTATGGTGGTTTAACATGGAGGCATGGATGTAAACCAGCCTCCCAGTGGTGTTGGGACTGCAAATCCCAGAATTCTTATTTTATTTATATAGATTTATATGGCTGCTTATGTCATAACAGTGATTCAAGACAGCATATGCAAAGATTAAAACAATGGTTATAAGCAGTGATCCATAATTCTCAAGGTAAACCATTATATCCCAATGATTAAAACCACAACACAAGAGTGCTTACCTGATATCCTGGCCCAGGTAGTTGGGGAAACAGCCATCAGTCACCATGACCTTCAGAAATCCAAGAAGATGCCATCCTAGCACAGTTTTCATTTTGTCCTCTTCTGTTCTATTCTTTACCATAGATGTGATTTGCAGGGTCCTATTGTGAAGGAGATCCAGCATGTGAAATTATTCTGTGATCCTGCTTATCATTGGATTGAAGTAGATACTCTTATTGAAGCACCAGTAGAATGAAGAATTAAACTTTCTCCTTCCCCTCTTTTCTAAAGGAATCACAAAGTAATTGAACTACTCCGCAAAACTGGAGCTCACCTTTCCAGCCAAGAACTTGTGAATGTTGGGACAGAACTCTGCAGGCAAGTATGACTCTAAACTATACAAATCAGAGGTGGTATTCAGCCAATTCTGACAGGTTCTGGAAGACCAGTAGCGGAAATTTTGAGTAGTTCGGAGAATCAGTAAATAACATCTCTGGTTGGCCCCTCCCCATCTATTCGCTCCTCCTGAGTCCCAGCTGATTGGCTGGGTCTTCTTTTGTTGTCCTGCACAGGAGAATGGAGCTGGAAAGCAGGTTAGTGGGGTAGGGAGGGAATGGGGATTTTACAATATCCTTCCCCTGCCCATGCCCACAAAGCCATGCCATATCCACCAAGCCACAGAACTGGTAGTAAAAAAAATTGAATACCACCACTGATACAAATATATATCTCCATCAGCTGATTTCCCTCCATTCAAGAACTGTATATTTGGTAACTAACAGCTGAATGTGATTTAAAAAAAAATCAAATATTGATTTTTTTGATTAAGGCTGCTTTTTTATGATCCCTGATATGCCTTCACAGTGGTTTTGGCATACATTTAATTATTGCTCAGTTATTGGAGGTGTAGAAGAATTCTCTCCCAGATAGTGGCAAAACTTTGAGATCAGAGAAGAGAACTAGGAGCATTTCAAACATTTTGGTGCGTATTGAAAGAGAGTCACTGGATGTATAAATTTACTGGTCCTCTAAATCAGAAACAGATCTATAGTAATTCAGAAACTAGGGCAAATAAATATAGTTCATTCATGTGTAATAACTGGCAAAGAAAAACAAAATGCTCTCTCTTCATCCTGTTCAGACCTAACAAATATTGAGTTTTGCAGAACTTCAAATGAAACAGTTCCTCTGGACGCAGATCTTTCTGTCAATAGTGGCAGAATTATAGGAATTAGAAATAATGCTCCAGATTCAGCATTAAGCATCAGTACAATTTGTTTTCTCATTCTTAATCTGACATTTTCTATTATTAGAGTCACTTAGGTGAGTTGGATATTGTAGAAATTGAATCAAACAATCTGAAGAAAGGCAGAATCTTATTTTATTAGTAAATAATAAAACTGTAATACTGAGCCAATTTGGTGCAGCAGTTAAAGGCAGTGATCTAGAAACCAGAAGTCTATGAGTTCTAGTCCTGCTTTAGGTACAAAGCCAGTTGGGTGACCTTGAGTCAGTCACTCTTTCTCAGCTTTAGGAAGAAGACAGGGACAAACTACTTCTGAAAATCTTAACAAGAAAACGGCAAGGACTTGTTCAGGCAACTGCCAGAAGTGTATTTCTTTTTATTTGTTTTTTTTAATTTGTCAATTGCTTACAAGATAATAGGTATAAGTAAAAACATAGTTATGAATACATGGATACATATAAGAAAAATAAAAGAAATAAAAGAACAATAAGACAGGGACGGTAGGCACATTGGTATGCTTATGCATGCCCCCTACAGACCTCTTAGGAAAGGGGTGAGGTCAACAGTAGACAGTCTAAGGTTAAAGTTTTTGGGGTTTGGGGAAGAACCACAGAGTCAGGTAGAGTATTCCAGACATTGACCACTCTGTTGCTGAAGTCGTATTTCCTGCAATCAAGTTTGGTGCGATTAACCTTGAGTTTGTATCTATTGTTTGCTCTTGTGTTGTTATGGTTGAAGCTGAAGTATTCATTGACTGGTAGGACATTGCAATGTATGATTTTATATACTATACTTAGATCGGACCGAAGGCGGCATAGTTCTAGGTATCAAGTGCAGTGTTCATATTAATATTGTAATTTCTTAATTCTCATTTTACTGATTCACTGATATATTTCTTTTATAAGCTAGCCTATTATCCTGTTCAGATCCCAAATTGTTTTAGTTTTGATGGAAAGTCACTGATGACTTCCATGGGGTAGCAGAATCAGTCTTGATTACCTGTCTCAGGAGCCTATTAGTTTCCACAGAGTTTTTGGGGAGTTTACCAGATCCCTAGTAGGCGATCTGATTCAGAGCTTGACAGCTTGAAGAAAATCAGGCACTGGACCCTTTTGTCTCCATACAGCTTCTTTCTGGGTGACAGTTCAGATTGACATAATGGTTTATTGAGGTCTACTGGAAAATGAAATGCTTGAAATAATGCCTGGAGCCCTGGTGGAAGAAGACTAAAATGAATCCAATCAATGCTCTTGCTCAAGCTCTCTTACTGTGTTAGTGAGGTGTTATCCAGTGACTTTTTATGATAACTTACTCACTTTTAGGGATATACCATATACATATGGTATATCTCCCACCCAACCACTGTGATCCACTTATTACGCAGCATTTGTCTGGCAAAATTTTGCTAAAATGTTGACTCTTATTAGCCAAGAATACTATTATCTGAGACTCCTTTTAGCCCATGACCTCCAAGGAAGAAGTTAGATTGTCCTCTGATGTGTACATTGGATAACAACTGGACAACTTTTAAAATTCCTTTTTAGGGGAAGGATTGTTAAGACCATGACAGAACTAGATAGCATCATAGGAGTAAGAGATTATCTAAACCTTTTTCAGACCTAGGTATGAGACCGAGAATGTTTTGATCACTCTCCTTGTTGAACTTTTTGAAACCTCAATGGGGATAGTGCACCTCTTTTGGCTTTTTCAGATCTTTTGGTGGCTTTTCAAACCATTGACTATGGTATTTTTGTGAAATATTCATAGTAATAACAGAAAGAAAAACTTACGCTCTGAGTTAGAGTAATGATATCATCATACCATATATCTGATTCTGAATGATTACATTATATCAGGCAATTGTTCATGAAAGAATATTGTAGAATATTGATGACAAAGCAACTGAGGGAGTCTTATTAAATTTGCACATTTAAGGGTTGGAGGGCTAGTGGGGAATGCTGGGGGTTGAAGTCCACACATTTTCAAGTTGTCAAATTTGAAAATCACTGCATTAATATATGTACTGCTTTGATTCCAGACTTTTTGCTGCTTGAGACAAAAATGAAAGTAGCATCCATCTTCAGATTGCAAATCTCCAATATCTATAGTTGTGCTCATAAGTTTACATACCCTGGCAGAATTTGTTATTTCTTGGCCATTTTTCAGAGAATATGAATGATAACACAAAAACTTTTCTTTCACTCATGGTTAATGGTTGGCTGAAGCCATTTATTATAAATCAACTGTGTTTACTCTTTTTAAATCATAATGCAACAGAAACTACCCAAATGACCCTGATCAAAAGTTTATATACCCTGGTGATTTTGGCCTGATAACATGCACACAGGTTGGCACAAAGAGGTTTGAATGGCTATTAAAAGTCCTCACCTGTGATCTGTATCCTCACCTGTGATCTGTTTGCTTGTAATTAGTGTCTATATATAAAAGGTCAATGAGTTCCTGGACTCCTGACAGACCCTTGCATCTTTCATACAGTGCTGCACTGACCTTTCTGGCTTCTGAGTCATGGAGAAAGCAAAAGAATTGTCAAAGGATCTGCGGGAAAAGGTGGTTGAACTGTATAAAACAGGAAAGGGTTATAAAAAGATATCCAAGGAATTGAGAATGCCAATCAGCAGTGTTCAAACACTAATCAAGAAGTGGAAAATGAGGGGTTCTGTTGAAACCAAACCACAGTCAGGTAGACCAAATAAAATTTCAGCCTCAACTGCCAGAAAAATTGTTCAGGATGCAAAGAAAAACCCACAAATAACTTCAGGTGAAATACAGGACTCTCTGAAAACATGTGATGTAGCTGTTTCAAGATGCACAGTAAGGAGGCACTGGAAGAAAGATGGGGTGCATGGTCGATTTGCCAGAAGAAAGCCATTACTATGCAAATGCCACAAAGTATCCCATTTACAATACGCCAAATAACACAAACAAACCTTCTGGCACAAAGTCATTTGAAGTGATGAGACCAAAATCGAGCTTTTTGGCCACAACCATAAATGCTACATTTGGAGAGGAGTCAACAAGACCTATAATGAAAAGTACACCATTCCTACTGTGAAACATGGAGGTGGATCGCTGATGTTTTGGGGATGTATGAGCTACAAAGGCACAGGAAATGTGGTCAGAATTGATGGCAAGATGAATGCATATGTTATCAAAAGATACTGGAGGAAAATTTGCATTCATCAGCCTGGAAGCTGTGCATGAGGTGTACTTGGACATTCCAACATGACAATGATCCTAAACACAAGACCAAGTTGACCTGTCATTGGCTACAGCAGAATAAAGTGAAGGTTCTAGAGTGGCCATCTCAGTCTTCTGACCTCAATATTATTGAGCCGCTCTGGGGAGATCTCAAACGTGCAGTTCATGCAAGACAGCCCAAGAATTTACAGGAACTGGAGGCTTTTTGCCAGGAAGAATGGCATATTTTACTTCTAATCTAGCCTTTCCAAAATCTGCCCATGTTTTACCAGGGGAACTCTGTTGTGGCCCATTATCTGGAAAGATTACTTATCAAATCAGTTTCCATGGCTACACAGAACTAATCTAACTAAAGGAAACTACTTAAAAGGATATTTAGAGGTAATTAATTTATATTTGGACTGCCAAAGAAACAAACTCTTTTAAACTTCATTTTTACCTTCTATTATACCCAGTGAAAAATTCTTGGTCTGAGCTATTGCAAAATGATATATGATCCCAGTTACCTTCTGCCATCTCTGGCTTAGATGAATCAAGTTGCTGAAGATAAGAAAAAGAACTTAGAGAAAAGCTAGTTAGCTACTGTTAACTTTCAAAAGTACTGAGCCATAGGAGTGACATAAAATTGTTGAATTCTAGTTCTGTTTTGTGCTTTCCAAACAACAATTCCATGAAGCCAATTAATGTAGCATTATTTCCCAAGAATGAGAGGCTTGGAATCTGTTTTGTAAAATCTTGTTTAGTTGTCAAGATAATTAAGAGGAGTGGCTTAAAAAACTTTATATTCTTTAGGAAATAGATTAACCCACTTAGCCTTTTCTGCATGTAAAAATCCAGTTTAACAGGTTAATCACAGAAGACAGCAAACTGCTTTGGGGCTGCATTCAACAATCAGAAAAATGATAACTGCATA